AGGTTCGGTCATTATACGTCACTCCATCGTGCAGTAAGGAGTGAGTGTTGTGATCTGCATTTTTTCTTATGCGTTTAGCAAGGAGACGACATAACGCCTGGGTTTTAGATGCAGAAGTGAGCGCAGTACGTTCCTCTGCCTGTTTATGTTTGTCGTGTTGAATTTGTACTCCTGTAGAACTATGGTCTACTATGATATTAGTACTGCTCTAATAATAGACCTAATCCTAAATCTGTGGATTTGTCATGATATGACTGCCTAATCTATAAGATCTTACGTGGAAGTCGCACCATCAACTACACCAACTCACTGTATCGTATCAATTACCAATACATGATGTAGAACAAGGTTAGGCTAGAGAAAGAACAATATATTTAATATGAAAAGAAGATATAAGGTAACATTCAGCAAAGACCACGCCTGCATGGCCGAGCCATGCCGTTCGATCAACTCTAGTCTATTCAATTCATTAGTCGCGCCTTCTCCATCATTAGGTATTTCTTCGCGTTAAATATTGAATATCTATTTTCTGAGTAATCTCGTATTCAGCTTTGAGGATTGTGTGGTTATGGTCCAATGCCACTACACTACTCTCCCACCAGAATCAACGTGGTGTTGGTTCGATACCAAATTGGATGGGACTGTAGTGTCCCGAAGGTTACCAAGACTAGTAATAATCCTCCGGGTGATGACAAGCTGAAAGATAAATCAAAAAGAAAACGGCAGCATCTGGTCTGGAAATACATGTAATAATTTTAAAATATCTGCCTTCATGCTTACAATGAAAATTTGAGTGATTATTTGAGCTATAAAAAATGGGATTACAATAATAATAATAATAGTAATAATAAAACGATGCGTGTGTAATAGCCGTTGGTTGATAACTTAACGTATAGGTAGTAAGTATTTTGTGTTTAGAAATATTAAAGTTATGAATATTGTAGAAATGTTAATATTAGTACTACTTTTAGTCTAACTTATGAAATCAAATAACGATTATGCCGGTAAGTTGTCCATATGAGTCGATTTCCAATTGCATCTGTATTAGTAGGCTAACTGAAGGAACAAAAGTATTACCGTGGAGAAGAATTCCAACTAGTGTTCCAGTTAGTTTGATACGGTTTATTTAGTTACGGGGAGATTGTCTCAACCCCATGTTTATCTGACCGTGATAGAATTTAGTAATACTACTAATACACGTGAATGGTTATCAAAACAAAATTTAAATACGTGAGTGATAATTATGTGAATTTTGGACAGATAGCTAGAAACAAATCGTTAAACATGAGTGTATTCTTAAGAGACATGCTCTAGACTCAATGTTCTGATCTGCGGCAGACTATTTATTTATATCTATACTTGCCGGCTGATTGGGTATACAAGTTAGTTGAAAGTATGCAGTTTATCATAAGGCGGAATACGATTTACTTGAGATATAGTGGTTATAAGTTATTGAAATTAGTTAAACCTATGTGTCATATTACTAAGTGATGTGGTGCTGCAAGATGTATTTGGCTAAATAATTTTTTACAAGATGATTAATAGTGAGTGATGCTCATGTGATTATCCGGGAGAACATAAGTTGTAACCAAGGGGAGTGCACTCCCAACTCATGCCTATGATAATAGTTTGAACCTTAGTCAGTGTTGGGGTAAATTCGACATTGATGTTTTCAGTTTGCAGGATATTTGCTCGACTGCTTATACTGATTATTTGCATGCATGATTGTGTCGCTAAACCATCAATTAGACTGACAAAGTTTTGAGATATTTACTGAATGAGCAACTGATAGAGAAACATACTGTAATCATCTGTAGTGAATGAAGAAAAACAACACTAGTGATAATTATAAGTAAATTTGCTGACCGATTTTGTTAATAGTTTCATTAATTTTATCAATCATATTACGTGATTGTCAAGTCATGACAATGCTTTATGACGATATCCTGAAACTATTATGTTTAATTAGTTATAGTGTTGATTGAAGATTGGCCAGTGGGTAAATAAGCATTGTTGCTTTAGGTGATTCAAAATTATCAGAAATTTATAACGTTAAAGAATCCGAGACGTCTAATTTAATTATAAATTTCAATTTAAAAATATTTGTTTAGTGTTAATTCTAGTAGGCTACGGAGTTTTGATTTTAAAAGTTTGTTCAACCAACAACTACCTGAGGATTTAGTAATTTTACTAGTGCAGTTGATAGTACCTAACTTTTTAATCTTATCATCTAAACTATGTTCGTATTTTAGGCTGCTAATATGATAAACCAATCCATGAACCTAAATACGATTAGCAACAATGACTATGATGGGTTTATTGATAAATGTTAACGGCGATTCAGATGATTTCTGAATTCAAAAGACATGAAGATATATTAAAACGTACATACGGGCCAGGTTAACATGCAGGTTGTTGACGTATATGAAAATTTAAAAATAATGAACATGACCAGAAAAACAATTTTAAGGTTAAGACTGCTTGTGAAACTTTAGGCAGGAATATGACGCGTTATAAACATTCTATAAGAAGTTACTGCATTTAGCCTAAAGATAATTATAAATATGTGGCAAACACAACTGGAAAACATATACATGTTAAGTACAGAAAAATCATCCAGTAAAATAGTTGAACTCGCCTGGATAATTTTTGAAAATTAGATTATTCAGTGGACGACATATATAACGCCATTCGTGAGGAGTAATGATCCAAAAGTATCCACAATAAAACATGCAGTATGGCAATTAATTCCAGGGTGCTTGATGCTGTTGCCACTCGCTCAGATCAAAGCAATCGAATGAATCCAGATAATTGTGTCAGCCATTGAACGAGCCATCTAAAATGACCTTATGATTGCAGGAAACTTATGGCTGAAACTCACCGTATGTTTTTAGAGAAGTGTCATCCTTGTTGTTTGGCAATGGAACTCGAGAATATGAAATTAGGCAGGTAGTGGTCGGAAGAAAAGGATAGTGCATAGTTTAAAACAGGATGAGGTGTTAAGCGAAGAAACACTAAGAATTAGATCCAGATAACTATTCAATCCTTGATTGCATTGTTAGCCAATGTATATTTACGCTATTTACAGGTCATATTTGCTAGAGCTTGATGTTTAAACAAGTCTATGTCGCTGAAGCAGGTAAATGCTATTAAAGCTTGTTAACGAACCATCAAAGCTAATTAGTTGATATAGATGATCAACTTTTATTATCGATTGAGCTAGTAAGTTATGTGAACTAATAGATATAACATTACGATAATATGTGTGACCATTAATCAAAGGACTATTAGAATACTGGGTTTACAAAAATAAAAACCGATTGAGAAGGTTAAGGTGGAAATAAGGATTAACAATAATAGGTTGCGTTTCTTTAGTTGGGCTCACCAATGTAGATTTTGGTCTACTATGATATTAGTAATGCTCTAATAATAGACCTAATCCTAAATCTGTGGATTTGTCATGATATGACTGCCTAATCTATAAGATCTTACGTGGAAGTCACACCATCAACTACACCAACTCACTGTATCGTATCAATTACCAATACATGACGTAGAACAAGGTTAGGCTAGAGAAAGAACAATATATTTAATATGAATAGAAGATATAAGGTAACATTCAGCAGAGACCACGCTTGCATGGCCGAGCCATGCCGTTCGATCAACTCTAGTCCATTCAACTCCTTATTCGCGCCTTCTCCATCGTTAGGTATTTCTTCGCGTTAAATATTGAATACCTAATTTCTGAGTAATCTCGTATTCAGCTTTGAGGATAGTGTGGTTATGGTCTAATGCCACTACACTCCCTCAATTACAGAGTATATCTGGTTCAGGTTAATGAAGTCTTTTGATATACAGTACGTCCTTTGCAGTTTTCGCAGTTTATATCTAGTCTTTTATTTTATATGGGGAGTAATTGTTTTACAATCAATTTCAGAGGGTATAGTAGTGTCCAGGGCAGATTTGGTGGTGGTATTGAATATTTCTTATGTTTCTAATAGGTTATCAGTGGTAAAGAATCTACTTCAGTCAGTGTGCTTTATTAGAAATCGAAAGTTTTCCCAGTAAGCGTTTGCGTAATCTCTATATTTGGAACGCGTATTTAATGTCTTCAGTTTGTCGCACATGACAAGAATCGGAAGGGTGTAGAAGATTATTTTATGATCGATGTGAAAATTTTCACAAACCACCATTGATGTAGGTGTAATATTGTGAAAAACATTGAATCAAGAATGTTGTAATTTCGTGTAGGCAGGTGTACATGTTGTTGCCAACCGTGTATGTGTAAGGACTCAAGTATACTTTAAAAGCACAATGTGTCATCCAGTTGATGGTGGAATGGTTGAAATCACCAAATACAATTTTGTAATTGAAATCAAGCTAAGCAGCCTGAGCTAATGATTCACTTATAACAGTGTAAGTTGAACTAGGAATGTTAGTAGCGCGATAGATGCATCCGATAAGTATTTTACATTCATGAGTGTGCACAGTAAGTCATATATACTTGATTAACTAAGGATGTATTCTGTAGACGGACCTTGTTTACAAAGACTTTATGATAAAAGCACAAACACTGAATTTTTAAGAAATATACATAAAGTTAGCCATACTTCAGGGTCTATAAACGTTTTTGATTTAAAAATCAGTACTAGACAACTCGATTAGGTATGAATAAGGTAACATATGAATATCTGAGCTACCTGTTTCTGCCATCTGATTATTTTAACAAGTTATCTGTTTTTTATTTGTTTTAACTTATAATTATATCCATTAATAGCGTTACCTATTCAGGCGCTTTTACGAAAAGTCTACGACCTTTCGCTGCAAAAATTACAAAAAAGTACTATAAAGGACATCGTGGTGGTCGGCAATATGAACTAAAAAGGATGAACATCAATTGAATGTCGATTCCTGAGCTGCTAAATTCTAACTGCCGATCACTAATCAGCAAAGTAGACTAGCTGCAGTTCCTATAGGAACTGGACAGTCCGCAATCGAATTGATGTGGTTTTTCGCTTTCACGAAAATTCGATAGCAGTTGGTTCACATTAACATTCAAGTCAGTAATGGCGGACGACATGTTGTTAATTGTTTTTGTCAGTTCATTGATAGCTGACGACATGTTCAGCACCAGTGCATACAACCTTTCACTGCCGAAAAAGGTCACTACATGATGCAGGTAACTTACTTGTCCACTATAGCGCCGCCAACATGCTTACATTCCGATGTCGAAGGTGATGTCTCCAAATGTGTCGAACTAATTCGTGAATATCTAAATACTAATTAAACGTACTTGGCGATTGGCGATATTAATTTCTCGAAAACACGGAATTTTGGATATTGTACGGGCACATTCCTAGACTGCATCTCAGCAACATCCATGTCTACTGAATTGTAAAGAAAATCTTCTTTACGCTTCATTACACCTCTACGAAATGTTAGTAAGATTATTGTACAGACCTTTTTGGCTTTTCAGTGTTCAGTGGCAAAGTGTTTTCATCCATTGAGGTGTTTTTCCGTTTAGACTCCAGTATCTGTAGGGCAACTAACAGATCTTTTGCCGACTGGAGAGAATCTATGGTGAATTATCCATCCTGTGTATGTAACGTACCTAATTCGTGAATCACTTTACATTTCATAAATGACCAATTTTCATTCGGTTGGTCGCTCTTCTGAAGATGTAAATCGACATGCTCTTTCGGAAAAGCGCACAGTTCCTTTCCTACGATCCAATCTTTGTGTGCTACCATTAGTTGTTTTTTGCTCAAGACGTCAACAATGACGTATTTCTTGTTAGCAGGCTGAAAATAACATAAGACGTAATTAAATGATTTATCGTCATTAATAAACACTAGTGAAACAAAATACATTTACAATACAGTATGCAACAATGGGACTATAACTACATAATTGATACAGTTGATGGCTATACATTTACAATCAATGTCCTTAAGTGATATCCATGTGTGTTCATGGCTAACTACGGAGCACCTAAAAATTCCAATATCAGTAGATGGGAATGGATCTTCAAAGTAATTGCGTGGGTCAGTGAAAGTCCTAAATTTTAGTAGTCCATCCTCCTTTATATCAGTGATTAAACCTGGCTGGCCGTTCACTACTACTACATTATCAGGCTGACATGTAGTAATTTTACTACTGTTAAACATAATTACTTGTTTTGTAGAGACATCAGTTGTGCCTATTGGGGTAGTATTAGTTAAGCCACTAATTTGAAGCCTATCGCTGAAGGACATTCTCTCAGCATAACGCTGTGCTGCTTGCTTAGCCACTGCAAACCCACTACGCACGGAATCCTTAATTTGTCTCATATAAGACTCGAATGGAAAGGCTGAAAAACTATCTAAAGGTCCATGTGCTTGAACGTCGTCAGGGAGGTGCTGTAACGAATGCACATTGTAAACTAAGTGTTCACACCCATAACACCATTCATATTCATTCATGAAGTTTAGTAATTCCATTCTGGCGGTTTCTACAACACTTTTATGCAGTTTGGGATGTGCAAGCAGATACATGGATAACGCTAAACGCCGGAAATTAAGATAATAAGGTTGTGGCAATGTCTTTTCAAGAATCACCGGGCCTAAATATAGCAGGAACAACCTACATTCAGACGCTTTCCATGCCGATACAAAGTCTAGTGTACGGCATTTACGGGGAAAGTCAGAAGGAGTACTTGCCACACAACCGGATATTAAATTGTTTATGTCTCTAATTGCACATGAGTTAAAGTTCCGCATTCTTCGGCGTGCTAAATCTATCCATAAATTAGCTAGTTTTTTTGTAACTCCAAGGTACACCATGTGCATAGGATCTAGAGGAAAAGCTACAATCATATTAATAGAAAGCGTTTCCATTATAGAATGTCCTTGATGGTGAATAGATTGAGTCTGACAACGGAAGGTGTCGTCTGTTCTTAAAGTATATACCCCATTTGCAAAAGTTGTCTTACCCTCAAGCCGTCTTCCAAGAACAGTACACCTATCGCAACCTGCCTTACCGTTATGATTCACCGTGTACCTAACAGAGGAACGAGCAGGTGCGTCACATATAACAGCCGCCAACCGAATAGCTATGCATTTATTAAACTTGACACTAAAAAGACCCACGTCAGTCATTTCTTTTATTTCAGAAATTGTGTTCGCAGAAAATTCGTTAAATTCTGCGGGTTTACTATTTCCTCCGTAGATACCTATCATGAACACGTCACTAAGCCTAGGGGTAATGATCCGTCCTAGTATAGGCCATAACTGTTGATTAGAGCTTCTAGACATAGAAAGTCCATCTATATTAACATATAAATTTAAAGAGTCAAAATCAATAGTACACAACCAAAGCTCAACGTATCTTAGCAGATTGGTTTTCAATCCAAGATGGTAGTAAACCCCACTGCCAATGAACTTTGGTTGAACACTTGGACACGTCTTAAGAACACTTCTGATGCTTTTCGGTATTTCCGGTATAAGAAATCGTAGACCATACAAAACCCGATCAGCATCTCTTATGCTAAGAGATGTATTTGACTTTAGATACATTATAAAGTCGTTCATTAGTTCTTTGCGATTCACAAACTTTTGAGAGCACAAGTCCACTTCAGTACATCCTATAAGATATATATTCACGTAAGAATTTATTGTTCATACCACTATTATGTGAAAGCCTTTGATTGATGTTGCTAGTGGACGGTGTACTAGTTGAAGTACTTTCATTACAAATGACTTCTCTCGTTATTTCTATAAATTAAGTAAACAACATTGTTGAACTCAGTTACCTTTTATGGTGCTGTCATTAGCAAACTCACTAAACGAAAGAAAGTGATATTTTTTCATGAGAGCAGCTTTCATTTTATTCCACCTTCTATTATAAGTGGATCTATGACAGCCAAGGGAACGTGACAAGTTCACAGTGGCCCTACGTCTACGAACATTCTCACTGACTTCAATAGAACTCATAGTATTGGCCTTACAAGGTAATCAATTAAAATTAACATGAAAGTCTGAGAGCACGTCACTCACCTGCATCACGTAAGTTTTTTGTGATGGCTCCAAAGAATGTCGGAACACTTCAGCTAAACAACAAACGAAGTCACTCTGTGTGCGTATCAACCGAATGCCTGGTTCCGTATCTAGTACATTGTTTCTATGACAATACTTTTGTTTCTTTACTAAGCGGCGCCTTAATTCGCCGAAGTCTATGGAAAATTCTGTTCCTGATGCGGTTTATTCAAAAACTGTACGTTACGTAGAATTGTCGACAAATTTCCCCCAAATACACGACGTAAGGGGGAAAAAGCGACATTTCCCCTAAATAACCGACGTAAAGGCGAAAAAGCGACATTTCCCCTTTATTTCCCCTTTCGTCCGCTTTATTTCCCCTTTTTTCCCCTTTATTTCCCCTTTTTGTGTTGCTTGGGTACTAAGTCAAAATATATATCGTAATTGTGGTGTCATCACAATTCAAGAAACTTGGTTAAATGATTTTCAGGATGACTGTCTAGTATCACTACGTGATTTCAAAATTTATCATGAGGATCGGTCAAACATTAAAAAGAGGTGTGGTGGCGGTGTAGCTACGTTTGTAAACATAAACTGGTGTCGATCTTCGTTTGTGTGTTTTAAGTTTTCAAATGACTTTATCGACTGTCTAACTCTAAGATGTCGTCCAAAACATCTGAATAAATACAAATATGTTTATGTTACTAACATCTACGTGACTCCAGATTGCACATCATCTTCATCATCTGTTTTCGCTGATGAATTCACTGAGTTCGCTCTTACTGCCTTCAGTGATTCATTTTCAGTTGTATCTGGTGATTTCAATTCATGTGACTGTAGCTTCCTTACGTCACTAGGTCACCAAAATGTAGTAGATTTTCCTACCCGTTTGGATGCTCATTTAGACTTCGTCTTCATTAATGATGTGGGTATATATGCGACTCGTAAACGTTCTCCATTGTCTAGCTCGGATCACTGTATAATTCATGTTCTACCTAAAGTATATGGAAAGCATCGGAAGAGTACACTCTTACATCAAACCAAGAAAGTCAAATATAGAAATTACTCAGAAGAAAATATTCGAAATCTGAAATACATGTTTCATACGACTAATTGGGAATTATTTACAGATGACTCACTGGAAAACACTACTGATGTTGTCACTTGTTACCTTAAATTCTGTTTTGATATTTGTTGTCCCACTGAAACCATTTTTGTAGGTTTCGATCGACTTACATCTTCACAACTAAAACGGCTACGGAGGATGAAAGAAAGAATGTACAAGGAGAAGAACTCTAATAAAGTTCATAAGCTAAATGGTCTGACAAACCTAGAGATTAGACGTCTCAACTGTATGCTTACTCAAAAACTGTTGTCTTGCAGAAACTCTCCAAGTATGTGGAAACTCTTTAAAGAACTTACAGGTGACAGACAGTTTAGAAGCGATAATCAGCTGAATGTTTGTAACTTAAATACGTCTTTTGTACGTCAGTCATCTAATGTAATGCACCCTCTATCCACGGGTTTAAATAATAGTTGTGTTCCTGCTTTTACTGAAACTGATGTACGAAGATGTCTCCAGTCGCTTAATTCATCTCGGTGTTTTGGACCTGATGGTATCCCAAACATCCTTTTTAAAAAGTGTGCTGACGTCCTATGTCATCCGTTTACAACTATCTCTAACACATCATTCTCATCTAATCTCATACCGAAAATGTGGAGAAAGATGAAGATAATTCCTGTGCCCAAGAAATCATCTGGTGAAAAGAATGTAAGATTTAGACCTATTGCAATTACTTCACCCTTCCTCAAAACCATGGAAAAATTATTAATACTTCCAATTCAGCCTGCGATAAAAGAGCATATTGATCCATATCAGTTTACTTACAGACACAAAAGAAGCACTTTAGATGCTGTTGCTGTGCTGCATCACAACATAGTGTTCAACTTAGAAAAGGGTAAGAAGTATGTTCGATGTGCTTTTCTGGACTATACTTCAGCTTTTCATTCTGTACCAAGACAACGTTTACTTAACAAGTTAAACAGCGTCAACACTGACAGGTGGATAACCAACTGGCTATGTTCCTACCTCTCTGGAAGGGAACAGTACACTATGTTTGGAGGAAAGTGTTCATAGTCTCTACTGTCTCATGAAGGTGTACCACAAGGAGCTGTTCTTTCACCTCTTCTTTTCTCTTTTTTTCTGAATGATCTTCCATCTTTCACAGAAAACACTTTTGTGAACTATGTGGATGATCTCACTGTATGTATGCCTATATCTTCCTCTTTACATCCAATAGTAATGAATGAGTTTTTGTCTCGTTTTGATTGTTGGTCTGTTGGTAATGGTCTCATACTTAATCCGTCTAAATGTCAAGCTGTTAACATTAGCATGAGACATGAACGGCATCTAAACACCATTTTGAGATCCCATAATGCTTGTACCATCGGAGACTCTTTGATAAACTCAGTGTCGAAGGTCAATTATCTTGGTGTCACCTTTACCTCTGATCTCTCTTGGTCTTCCCACGTTCTATTGTTATCAAGGAAAGTTTTCCGTCTGACATACTATATAAAGAGATTACATGCCCTTGGGATTAGTTGACATTTACTCTTACAATTTGTCGATTCTTGCATATTGCCTATTATTCTTTACTGTTCTCCATTATTCTTTCCCGGGATTTTGATAAAAGACTTTGCTGCATTGCGGAGAGTGCTGAAGACAGTTAGCAAGATGTGTGGTGAATCTTTCGAGGTCAAAATTAATAACCTAGTCAATAACCTGCTTTTTTAACCATGTCTCTAATTTGAAAAGTTGTACAGTTTTTCGGTTGTTTTTTTAAGAAAAACCTCTTTTACTTTTTTTGTATTTGTTACTGTTTTTTGCGTAAGTAACTTGTAACTGTGCTGAGAATTCTATATTGTACCAAAATATAATATTGAATAAAGCCATTATTAATAATAATAATAAACAGTTTTTAAACACTGAGAAAGCATATATACATGTGTAAATTTTGTTCGGACTCCATAAAAGGTCAGTGCTTGTCAAACTGTTTCAAATAGGTATTTTTTGCGTACTTACTCTTGTTACTCCTCGTAGAGGATTGAGGCCGCCCATCAACATTCCCCATCGAACTCTGTACTGGACAATCCCTTTCAACTACTGTTCATTCTTTCTATGTCTAATTCCAATTCTCGATGCAGTGTGTTCTCTTCTTGATCTACATAAACGATCTTCCTCAACAGGTAACGTCAGACTTATTACTTTTTGCCGACGACGTGAAACTTCGGAGAGAGATACGCAACCAAGACGATACACAGGCACTTCAGGAGGATCTGACTTGACTTCAAAGTTGGGCAGATGATAACGTACTTACCTTTAACACTTCAAAGTGTAAAGTAGTTCATCTGCGACATGTCGCACACTACAGTTACAACTTAGGAAACTCCTCTCTCGTCGTATCCCAAGTCGAAAAAGATTTAGGTGTCCTGGTGCCCTATGATTTAAAGTCTTACGCTAATTGTGAAAAAATTGCCTTCCAAGCAAACATTGCACTGGTAACATTGAAGCGCATTTTTGGCCAGTTTGACGGAAGAACTTTCCATACGATCATCAATAGTTTTATCCGTCCCCATTTAGAGTACAAAAACACAGTACTCCCCCTTCATTCCAAAAGGACAAGGTCACTTTGGAGCGTATCCAACGGCGAGCCACGAAATCAGTTCGCGGACTCAAATCTAAGCCTTACGAAGAACGCCTCCATTCACTAGACCTTTACCCATTAGAGTATAGGCGTCTTAGAGGTGATTTATCAATGGCTTATAGTATTCTTAACACTTCTGGACATCCTCTTAAACACCTACTCAAGCTTAGTTCGAATACTGACCTAAGGGGTAACACCCAGAAACTGGAAACTCAACATAGCAAGACGGGATGTAGACCTAACTTCTACTCCTTAAGAGTTGTCAAAAGCTGGAATTCGCTACCGAAAGCTTCTTCTATTCCGTCCACAACCATTTGAACCATCTGAACCTTCCTCCTCTCAGTTTCCATTCACGACTACAAGTTAGCATTTGTCTCGTGATGCAGTTTGTTGATTTCCGTAATGTATTTCCTACCCACTTTCATCGCCTTTCCCTAATTTCTTCTTCAGGCGAAACCCGGTTTGTTCACTCCCACAGTAGGTTCTTGCTGATGGTATCCGGTCAACGGTCATTGAGTATCTTGTGTAGACAATTGTTCATAAATAAGTTCGATAATTGAGATCATGAGTCAATTGAAGTTAGATCACCATGGAGAACCTGGAAGCACTGGACGGCCGTTTCGTCCTACTGTGAGCCTAGCTTCAATTGACTCATGATCTCAAATGCTGAAATTACTACAATCTCCACATAACCCCTTCTGATGTTTATAAATATTTTTACCTTTTTGTTTATGGTTGCGGTGGTTCTCCAAGTTTCAGCTCTTTACAGCAGAACTATTTCGACGTTGGAGATTCTGAATTTTCTGTTGGTTGAAAGTTGTTATGAGTTCTATATGTTCTTCAACTGTAGGGATGTTGTACTTGCTTTGCTAATACGTGCCTTTACATCTACATCAGATCCTTTCGGTTCATCGATGATGCTGTCCAGGTGAGTGAACGTTTCCACCTCTTTGAGAGTTTCCCCGTAATGTGTGATTGGTTTGGTGTTCTTCGTGTTGTATCTTAGGATTTTTCTGTTCCTTTGTGTATATTGAGGTGAGGCAGAAGCTGCTGCTACACTGGTTTTCTTTAGCTACATTTGGTTGCGTGTATGGAGTGGAAGAGCTAGGTCACCTGAGATGTCCAATTAAGTCTACTCTGTGGATAATCATGCAACATTTGATGAACGCATTCCCTGGAGTCAGCTAATAATGAACCAGTAGTCTCCCACTAGCTAAGTAACCTAGAGTCAGGTCAGTCACCGGATATCGGGAGACTAAGGCCTCAACTGATATCAACATTCTCAAAAGTTTTCAACAGAAGTACTTGTAAGGAGCCAAGCACCCAGGTAACATTCAACAATAAGCATTGCAGATCTGTACTAATTTGAGCTATCTTCCTTACTAAAACCCTTAACTAACTAGAATACCAGCCATTAGTA